GTTAGATTTATTCCCAAATATTTGATTTTTTTTGTTTCGATAATAAAAGGGGTGGTTTTTTTGATTTCTTCTTCTTCAGATTTATTGTTTGTGTATAGGAAGGCTACTGACTTTTGCGTGTTGATTTTGTATCCTGCCACTTTACTGAATTGATTGATGAGTTGAATTAGTTTTTCTGTGGAGATTTTGGGTTCTCTATGTATATTATCATATCATCTGCAAATAGTGATAGTTTGACTTCTTCTTTTCCTATTTGGATTCCTTGGATGTCTTTCTCTTGTCTTATTGCTCTGGCTAGGACTTCCAGTATTATATTGAAAAGCAGTGGTGAGAGTGGACATCCTTGTCTTGTTCCAGATCTTAATGGAATTGCTTTCAGCTTTTCACCATTGAGAATGATACTGGCTGTTGGCTTGTCATAGATGGCCTTTATGATGTTGAGGTATGTTCCTTGTATCCCAAGAATTTCAAGGGCTTTTATCATGAATGGGTGTTGCACTTTGTCGAAAGCTTTCTCAGCATCTATTGATATTATCATATGGTTTTTATATTTCTTTTTGTTGATGTGTTGGATAACGTTGATTGATTTTCGGATGTTAAACCATCCTTGTGTCCCTGGAATGAATCCAACTTGGTCGTGGTGAATTATCTTATGGATACATTGTGGGATTCTGATAGCTAAAATTTTATTGAGGATTTTTGCATCAGTGTTCATTAGGGAGATTGGCCTATAGTTTTCCTTTTTTGTGTTGTCCTTATTCGGTTTTGGTATTAGTGTAATATTGGCTTCATAGAACGTGTTTGGTATTGTCCCTTCCTTCTCAATTTTTTGGAAGAGTTTGTGAAGGATAGGAACTAATTCGTCTCTGAATGTTTGGTAGAATTCATTTGTAAATCCATCAGGTCCTGGGCTTTTGTTTTTGGGGAGGTTTTTAATTACCATTTCAATTTCGCTGCTTGTAATTGGCCTGTTTAGGTGTTCTATTTCTTCTTTATCTAGCGTTGGGTGATTGTAGAGTTGTAGGAATTTGTCCATCCCTCTAGATTGTTGAACTTGTTTCCATATAACTGTTCATAGTAGTTACTGATTATTCTTTTGATTTCTGCTGTGTCCGTTGTGATTTCTCCTCTTTCATTGATGATCCTGTTTATTTGTGCTTTCTCCCTTTTTTCCTTTGTGAGCCTGGCTAGGGGTTTGTCTATTTTATTTATTTTTTCAAAGAACCAGCTCTTGGTTTCATTGATCTTTTGGATTGTTTTTTTAGTTTCAATTTCATTTATTTCTGCTTTGGTTTTTATTATTTCTTTTCTTCTACTGGTTCTGGGGTTTTTTTGTTGTTCTTTTTCTAGATCTTTGAGCTTCGAGATTAGGTTGTTTCTTTCAGTTCTTTCTTGTTTTTTGATGTGAGCTTCTATTGCTATATATTTTCCTCTTATTACTGCTTTTGCTGCATCCCATACATTTAGGATATTGGTGTCCTCCTTGTCATTCAATTCAAAGAATTTTTTAATTTCTTCTTTGATCTCCTCGTTAGTCCAGTGGTCTTCCAGTAGTGTGGCTTTTAATCTCCATGAGGTAGGGTAGTTCCTTGCCTTCTTTTTATGATTTATTTCTAGTTTGATGCCTTCGTGGTCAGAAAAGATGGTTGGTACGATTTCAATCTTGGTGTATCTGTTGATGTTTGTCTTGTGCCCCAGTATGTGATCGATCCTGGAGAATGATCTGTGTGCGCTTGAGAAAAATGTGTACTCCGTTTTTTTTGGGTTTAGTGTTCTATAGATGTCTGTTAAGCCCAAATGCTCTAGGTCCTTATTTAGAGCTTTAGTTTCTTTACTTATTTTTTGTCTTGTTGATCTATCCATTGTTGATAGTGGTGTGTTGAAGTCTCCCACTACATATGTGTTTTCTCTGATGTCTGTTTTCAGAGAGGACAACAGTTGTCTGATATATTTTGGTGCTCTTTCGTTTGGTGAGTATATGTTAATGAGTGTTATTTCTTCTTGAAGTATTGTCCCCTTAATCATAATGTAGTGACCATTGGGGTCTCTTTTTATTTTTTGAGTTTGAAGTCTGTTTTATCTGATATAAGTATAGCTGTTCCTGCTTTCTTTTTTGGCCCATTTGCTTGTAGGATTGTTTTCCATCCTTTGACTTTGAGCCTATTTTTATCTTTTGTAGCTAAATGTGTTTCCTGGAGACAGCAAAAGGTTGGGTTTTGTTTCTTAATCCAGGCTGCAACTCTGTGTCTTTTTATTGAAGAGTTTAGTCCATTTACATTTAGAGTTAATATTGATATGTTAGCATCTGTATTTGCCATTATGTTTGTCTTTCCTTTGATTTTATTTATTTATTCTTTAATAACTTTTTTTTTTTTTTTGGTCTTCTTTCGTTGTTATTCGTCCCTCTGAGGTTCTGGCTTTAGGATTCCTTGTAGTATTTTTTGGAGTGGGGGTTTAGTCGCAATGAAATTCCGGAGTTTCTCTTTGTCTGGGAAGGTCCATATTCTTTCTTCATGGAGGAAAGAGAGCTTTGCGGGATAGAGTATTCTTGGTTGGCATCTGTTTTCTTGGAGTCTGTTGACTATGTCCCTCCACTCTCTCCTTGCCCGTAGTGTTTCTTCAGAGAAGTCTGATGTCAGCCTGATTGGTTTTCCTTTGAATGTTATCTGTTTCTTCCCTCTTGTCAGCTTCATTATTTTTTCCTTGTCCTGGATTCTTGGGAGCTTTACTATTATGTGTCTTGCTGTGTTTTTCCTTTCGTCGTGGAAGTTTGGTGTTCTTCTTGCTTCTTGTATATCAATTTTCAGCTCCTTCTTCTCATTTGGGAAGTTCTCTTCAATTATATCCATGAATATTTTCTCTGTTCCTACATCTCTCTCCTCTCCTTCTGGAATTCCTATAACTCTTATATTTCCTTTCCTCATGGAGTCAGATAGTTCCCGAAGTCTTTCTTCATCTTTTTCCTTCGTACTTCTCTTTCCTTTCTGTTTTGGTTCTTTTTATTTCTGTGTCTTCAAGATTACTTATTCGTTCTTCCATTTCATCTATTCTGCTTTCATTGCTTTTCCCAGAGTTCTTTAGTTCCTCCATTAATTCTTTGATCTCCTGCATTTCTCTTACTTCCCTCTTTAGGGACTCAATTTCCTTCTTCTGATCTATCACTTATTTAATCATGGCAATTTTAAATTCTCTTTCTGGAAGGCTCAGAAGTTCTTCCAAGTCGCTGTCGTTGCAATCTGGGGAGTGGTTTTCTTTTTGTGGTGTGCTTCTTTCCTGAGGAGTTTTTAGGTTGCGTGTGGTTCTTCTACTCCCTACTGTCTGTTTTCTAATTTGTCGTATGCGTTGGGACACTGTGTTGCTCGGACTGACTGACATCTTGGGTGAACTTCTCCACTCCCCTCTGGCTCTTCCAGGAGCCATCTCTGTCTTCTGGGGGAGCTTTCTGCTGGTTTTAGGCAGTTTTTACTGAAGAAATGTCCCTGTTCTCAAATGGCGAAGCGGGATGCAGTCCCTGTGCCTCCGGTTTCAGGCACTCTTCTGCGCACCCGGTCTGCCCCGGACGTGGGTGCCTGCTCCCTCTGTGGGCTCAGACTGCTGGTCGGAAGGGGCCTGGCGTGGAATAACTTCCCGGCTGGCCACTGGGTCCTCCAGAAACCTTCTGCCCTTTTCAAGCAGTCTTAAGAAAATGCCCTGTTTTATAGGGTGTTAGTGAGTTTTTTTTTTTCCTGGTTGCTAGGTGGCGCCAGAGATCTCTCCTATTGTCCTTGGGGGGTTGTTTTTCGCCTCCCCCCACCCCGTGGGACAGAGAACAGAGCGGGAATGGTAGGGTACACCTCAACAGCTTTGGGGTGCTGTGTCTGCCTTGTGCCCCACCGTCGTGGAGAAACCACGCCCCAAATTTTCGTGCCCCGGGTCTCAGTTCAAAGCCCTTAGTTCCAAGACGCGGGCTGTAGCCCAGTTCAGTGGCGCGGGATTGGCGCCTTTTGCACTGCTCCCGTGCCTGGCGCCTGGTTCCTGCTCACTCAGGAGGGACCTTCACCTCAGTGAGGACCTCCGCGCGTCTCCCCGCAAGCCTAGGTCGCAGGCGCGGGGACCTGGGCAGCCGGGATCCCGGTCCGCGTTTTCTTTTCAAGTGTGCCAAGCGCGCCGCTATCCGCGCCAGCTTACCGGCAGCCCGGGCTGTGTGCGCGTCTCCCGGGGTCTTTGTTCTTCTCTAATGGCGCCCGGAGCCGTTCGCTCACCGCCGCGGCGGATCCTGCAGGGTTCGCCTCAGCTCCCGTTCACGGGGTGTGGTGGCTGCAATAGTTCCTTTCCACTCACAGTCCCGCTTGCTGCGTCGTTTGTTCTTGTGGGCCGTTTTGGTGTGTTGTTTCCTCCTCTCTGCTGGTCGGAGAGTGCCGCCTCTGTGGGCGGGGGAGGGGAGCAGGGTTCTGTGCTTTCCTCCCTTCTAGTCCTCTTTTATGGCCAGTTTCTTCTTCGGGCAGTTCGCTGGCGTCACCCGTTTATCTTCCGTGTCCCAGTTCTCACTGGGACCTGCCGCTTTTCCTCCCTATTCACTTTTTTTAATGGGAGATCTTACTCGCAGCGTCTCCTCGCCGCCATGTTGCTCCGCCCCCTCTCCATTAGGTTTTGAATACATAATTAGATTTAGATGATACTTGACTATGTTAGGGCAGTAAGACACATCCATCATAAGAAAGATTTAATAGAAATATTTTTTAAATAACTTTAACTATTTCTTAGAAAAATACCTGGGATGCAAATGATTGCCTCTTCAAATTCTAATCTCTGTCAGAAAATGTGCTTTCTTTTTTTCCGAATTCTTTTTTTCATCTAAGACTTGGTAAAATTATGTATAATGTGTAACATGTATAGATTGTATAATTATGTATAGATAATGTATAATATTATACATTAGATAATGTATAATATGACTAAAAAGAAGCTATTGCTTGATACTTAACTTATCCTTGTATCTGATTTTAGGAAAAATCGTATTAATGGAAAATTATAATCAAACATCAACTGACTTCATCTTATTGGGGTTGTTCCCAGCATCAAGACTTGGCCTGTTCCTGTTCAGCTGCACTGTTCTCTTTTTCCTAATGGCTCTGTTTGGTAACCTATGCATGACCCTCCTTATCTTCCTTGACACCCATCTCCACACACCCATGTATTTCCTACTTAGTCAGCTTTCCATCATTGACTTAAATTATATCTCCACCATTGTCCCTAAAATGGCTTACAATTACCTGTCTGGAAACAAGTCTATCTCCCTCATTGGGTGTGGGTTTCAGAGCTTCTTCTTCTTGAGTTTAGCAGGTGCAGAGGCACTGCTGTTGACATCTATGGCCTATGATCGTTATGTAGCTATTTGCTCTCCTCTCCACTATCCCATCCGTATGAGCAAAAGACAGTGTGCACAGATGATAATAGGATCTTGGATCATGGGCTCAATCAACTCCTGTGCCCACACTGTGTATGCCTTCCAAATCCCTTATTGTAGATCCAGGGCCATCAACCATTTCTTCTGTGATGTTCCAGCCATGTTGACTCTGGCCTGCATGGACACCTGGGTTTATGAATACACAGTGTTTGTGAGCACCACTCTCTTCCTTGTGTTTCCTTTCATTGGTATTGCCTGTTCCTATGGCCGTGTCCTCCTTGCTGTGTACCGCATGCCCTCAACAGAAGGGCGGAAGAAGGCCTACTCAACCTGCAGCACCCACCTTACAGTGGTGACTTTCTACTATGCACCCTTTGCTTACACTTATCTACGCCCAAGATCCTTTCGCTCTCCAACAGAGGACAAGGCTCTGGCTGTCTTCTACACCATCCTAACACCAATGTTAAATCCCATCATCTACAGCTTGAGAAACAAAGAGGTGATGGGGGCCCTGAGAAGACTGATTCAGAGAATGCACTCTGTGAAAATATAAATCTTCCTGCATTCTGGACTCAGGTGCAAGTCCACATTGACTGTAGATTAATTCAGAATATACTTTACGGTTAGGATACAGGGAGTAAAATTAACTGAGAGGAGAAAAATCAGTTACATCTCAAAAATATTATCTTGTAAATGCATGTATAATGCTAAGTTTTAACCTCTTTTTATTCATGGTGCTTTTTATTATCAATTTCAAATATATTTATGATAAAATTTATCTATGAGAATTGTTCTTTTGGTTGTAAATGAAATGGAAATCGTTTGGCTGAAGTTGTCACTCAGCATATCACTTTCCTCTTTTCAACTTCCAAAATATCTAAAACAGAAAATTAAATGTTTCCCAAATCTAGATCTAAGTAAAATTCAGAAGACATTGTTTTTCTCATTATAGACCATTAACTTACTGTACCCATTAGGCTTCCTTTCAAATTAGCTAAATCCCTGTAATGATATGTTTATGTTTATTATATGAAGTTGAACACTAGGAAAGTTATTTAATGTAAGAAATACTTCAAGACTGATCATAACAACTGGAAGATACAATCAAGGTATGAACAGGGATCAAGGACATATAAAGTTATTTACAAAATAAATAGGTCAAGCAGTTACTCAAATTACATACCAAGTTACCACTTCTACTATTATATTGATAATGCCATTCTGGTGAGATTTTTTATTCTCTAGTCATCATACCGCATAGTTAAACTGAAACAGGACAAAAGATCCGGTTCTACTAATCAATTCTGTAAAAGGAACAGTGAGGAGCAACCTCCTAGCCAGTGTGGTGCCTTTATAGTCAGCTCAGTGGTAAAAGGTGGAGCTTTGGACCCACCCTTCACCCCGTTGACCACTGTAGCAGAACTGATGGGGTCTAGAGGTGGAGTGGAGCTTCTGGGTGGACCATAAAACGATGGAACCCTCTGATTTTTGCCTTCTGGATGGACCCTGATTCTGCTCAACTGATGCTCTCTACTGATAAAACCTATGACATCCTGGCTTGTGGCAGATAATAAATTTTCTTCTCTTCTTCTCATTGCCCTCTTTTTACTCAATGCTGATATAAATCTGCATTTGGAGATATTATCCTGTATTCCTAAATGTTTGGGTTAGGACTCGCAAGTTGGGTTGTTCCTTATCACCCAAACTTTGCCTTGTATCAGTAATAGTCATTGATTAAAACTGTTCTACCTTTCTCATAAGTGGATCCTACATTATATTCAATAAAAATCCATGATTTCTGGTGAACTTTTCGGGTAAGTGTTAGTAATAAGTGGTGTTCTTTACTCTCTTGTGTGACAGGGAGGATAAAATCAAGGTTTTATGGCATTTTTCAGGAGATAGCACTATGAAATTATGAGACCTTTCTTACAAATAGAAGGCACAATGTGCCTTGGCTATCTGAAATATAAATTTTTTTCCTGCAGAATTGATTTATTAATTATAATATTCAATACAAATTATTAAACTATTTTTGTATCATAATTTTACTTATAATAACTAACAATACCTTATTATATGATTTTTCAGGGTTGAGAAGAAAAAATTCCCTACCCCTCTGGGTTCTTCTAGGATTGTTGAGCAAATAGATTAACATCAGATAGATTAGTAGGTGAAAAGGGCCAAATTTAATTACATATATGGAGAATTTACATGACTAAAATCTTGAATAATTGAGATAGACTGAGATTCTTGAGTTAATGAAAGTGATAAGGTCCTAGAGCTTCAAGAAAAGAGGAGAGGGAGAGGTGACTCCCATATTCTGTAACTACTAATAGGTTTCTCAGATAGATATTATTACAGGTAAGTATATATCTGGATACTATCCCCGATATTCATCCTTCTAGTAATGAAAGAAGTGACAATCACTTAGATTAAGGGAGTGGCAAAAGCATCTCCCTATCTTCTAGGACCTCAGTTGACCTTAACCATAGTAATCTGCATATCACAGTAGTGCATCCAGAGGAAGCCAATTTTGAAACTTGCTGAGGCTCATTCTGCTCACCTTTAATACATTTATTGATCTAAGATTTTTTCCCTTTCATTTTTCTCAAAATTCATTTATTATGTCATCAAAATTTACACTTTTCAAAATTGATTTTGTATGAAATATAATCAAGTGTTATTAGCCACTGATAGAAAATGCTAGATTGTAATTTTTTTAATTTAAATTTTATTTTTATATTCCCCATACAATTACAACCTCCTTATTTTTACCCCAAGCCCTCCTTTCCCCGCCCCTATCCCCATAGAGAGTCTCTTGTTCATAGTTGTTGATTTTGATACTTTCTTTCTTATAGTTATTCTTTTTCATGGGCCCTTATTTAAGTTTTCTAGATTCCTGCTATGAGTGAGACCACCTGTTATTTTTCTTTTTCTTTCTGGCTTATTTCGCTGAGCATGATCCCTTCCAGTGCCATCCATGTTGCTGCAAATTGCATGTGTTTATCTTATTTGAATGCTGAGTAATATTCCATCATGTATATGCACCATATCTTCTTGATCCAGTCATCTATTTTTGGGCATTTGGATTGTTTCCAAAGCTTAGCTATTGTAAATAGTGCTGCTATAAACATAGGGGTGCAGGTGCTCTTTGGAATTGATGTTTCTGTGTCCTCTGGGTAAATAGCTAGGAGTGGAATTGCTGGATCATATGGAAGCTCTATGTTTAGTAGGTCAAGAAATCTCCACACAGCTCTCCATAGTGGTGGGACCAGTTTGCACTCCACCAACAGTGCAGGAGAGTTCCTTTTTCTCCACAACCTCGCCAACATTTGTTGTTGCTAGTTTTTTTTAATATGTGCCATTCTCACTGGTGTGAGATGGTATCTCATTGTAGTTTTGATTTGCATTTCCCTGATTACAAGTGATGTTGAACATTATTTCATATGCCAGTTGGCCATTTGCATTTCCTCTTCAGAGAAATTCCTTTTTAGCTCTTCCACCCATTTTTTGACTGGATTATTTTCTTTGTTTTTGTTGAGTCTCATCAGCTCTTTGTAGATTTTTGTGATCAGTCTTTTATCATTAGTGTTGTGTGCAAAAATGTTCTCCTAGTTGGTGGGGTTTCTCTTTGTTTTTGTTATTGTCTCTTTTGCTGTGCAGAAGCTCTTTAATTTGATTGTAGTCCCAGCTGTTTATCTTTGCCTTCACTATCACTGCTGTGGACGATGTGTCTGTAAAGATGTCTTTGATGTGTCTATCACGTAGTGTTTCGCCTATATTTCCTTCTATGTATTTTATGGTTTCAGGTCTTAAGTCTAGTTCTTTAATCCATGTTGAGTTGGTTTTTGTGTATGGTGTGAGGTAGTAGTCAAGCTTCATTCTTTTGCATGTAAGTGACCCAGTTTTCCCAGCACCATTTATGGAACAAACTTTCTTTGCTCCAATGCATAGTCTTTGGTCCTTTGTCAAAGATTAGTTGACCATAAATCTGTGGGTTTATTTCTGGATTTTCTGTTCAATTCCATTGGTCTGTGTATCTGTTCTTGTTCCAATACCATGCAATTTTGATGATTATGGCTTTGTAGTAAAGTTTGAAGTCTGGGAGTGTGATGCCTCCATTCCCTTTTTTTTTTCAGGAGAGCTTTGGCTATTTGGGGTTTTTGGTGATTCCATATGAATTTCATCAATAACTGTTCTATTTCTTTGAAGAATGACATTGAAATTTTGATTGGAATAGCATTGAATCTGTATATTGCTTTTGGTAGGATGGCCATTTTAATAATGTTTATTCTTCCAATCCATGAGCAGGGGATGTCTTTCCATTTCTTTGTATCTTCTTCTACTTCTTTTAACAGTGTTTTATAGTTTTCTTCGTATAGGTCCTTTACCTCTTTTGTTAGATTTATTACCAAGTATTTGATGTTTTTTTTTGTTTCTATAGGAAAAGGGATTTTTTTTTTAATTTCTTCTTCTTCAGATTCATTGTTGGTGTATAGGAAGGCTACTGACTTTTGCATGTTGATTTTGTATCCTGCCACTTTACTGAACTGATTGATGAGTTGAATTAGTTTTTCTGTGGAGTTTTTGGGGTTCTCTATGTATATTATCATATCATCTGCAAATAGTGATAGTTTGACTTCTTCTTTTCCTATTTGGATTCCTTGGATGTCTTTCTCTTGTCTTATTGCTCTGGCTTGGACTTCCAGTATTATATTGAAAAGCAGTGGTGAGAGTTGACATCCTTGTCTTGTCCCAGATCTTAATGGGAATGCTTTCAGCTTTTTGCCATTGAGAATGATACTGGCTGTTGGCTTGTCATATATGGCCTTTATGATGTTGAGGTATGTTCCTTGTATCCCAAGAATTTCAAGGGCTTTTACCATGAATGTGTGTTGCACTTTGTTTAAAGCTTTCTCGGCATGTATTGATATTATCATATGGTTTTTATATTTCTTTTTGTTGATGTGTTGGATAACGATTGATTTTCGGATGTTGAATCATCCTTGTGTCCCTGGAATGAATCCTACTTGGTCGTGGTGAATTATCTTATGGATACATTGTTGGATTCTGATAGCTAAAATTTTATTGAGGATTTTTGCATCAGTGTTCATTAGGGAGATTGGCCTGTAGTTTTCTTTTTTTGTGTTGTCCTTGTTCGGTTTTGGTATTAGTGTAATGTTGGCTTCATAGAACGTGTTTGGTATTATCCTTTCCTTCTCAATTTTTTGGAAAAGTTTGTGAAGGATAGGCACTAAGTCATCTCTGAATGTTTGGTAGAATTCATTTGTAAATCCATCAGGTCCTGGGCTTTTGTTTTTGGGGAGGTTTTTGATTACCATTTCAATTTCGCTAATTGTAATTGGTCTGTTTAGGTGTTCTATTTCTTCTTTATCTAGCTTTGGGTGATTGTAGAGTTGTAGGAATTTGTCCATCTCCTCTAGATTGTTGAACTTGTTTCCATATAACTGTTCATAGTAGTTAGTGATTATTCTTTCAATTTCTGCTGTGTCCGTTGTGATTTCTCCTCTTTCATTTATGATCCTGTTTATT